TGACAGTGCTGGATTTATGCACCAATTTACCAGCTCGCGCGTGCAATGCGCAGCTACTTACCCCCCAATCATCGGTGAACGAAACTGTGGCAGCTACAACCAGTGTACGACCAGTACGCGGTTCTTACAGCTGACAATGATGATGATGATGATGATGATGATGATGATGATGATGATGGTGATGATAGCACATTGTAAACTAGATGCACGTTTTCTTCAGGTACCTGGAACCCTCCGATTCGGTCTACGTTGAAACTTTGGTGCAACTGGAGCATTTGACTTGCTACATATACTTAATTCATGTGGTAGAAACGACGCGACATTTAGACTACTTGTTCTGCATGATTCTACAGTCATAGCATCATCCAGCGCCAATATTTTGACATGTTGCAGATGGGCCTCATAAAGTTGAATGGATGGACTAGTCAAAGAAGCTGCAAAGTTTTATATGATGCCTCTGTTTTGGAGTATTACTTCTAGACAATTCTCAGATGCCGAAGTAGGGAGCTGCACTGGGTCTTTGCTACTCCTAAAATCACCAAGTTCCATATGATTCTGTCCAACCTACTCTTGGGCAGAAAATGAGATGGGATATTTCATGTACAGTTACAAAAAGCCTACGAACAAAATGTACTTTATCTTTCCAGATTCTGGCTGTCAGTGGTCGGGAGGTGTTTCAGGAATAAAAAGGAACATGTCGTCTGAGGGATATTCTAGTTTTGATCCAGGAAGGATTATGTTATCCACGTCATTACTGGTCATAATGAATGGTTGGGGGTTAGTGCATCAGCACCCACACAAGTGACGTGCACGTTAGCGCTTAGGTAGGTGTAAAAGAGAGTGAACATCGGGCATAACCAGATCTTCCATTGGTGTGTGAACAAAATCCGAGCAAACCACAAGGTAGTCGTAGGCCGAGATCCTCATGCAACTCACCGAGAAGACGAGCATAAAACTGTTCCAGAAACACGGCAATGTAGTAATTTTTATCGTGGTCTGCGCTTCCATACTTATATGTATAACAGGAATTAAGAAAACCCAATAGCATATCGCGCTACTTATTAAGCAGATACAAACTCCCGGATAGCTTGCTACGAGTTCCGCCATTCTTGGGGCTAATGAAGTTGGTACAGTTCCCGGTTCAAGGTCAACGGAACGCTTCACCTGGAAACCATATTCTTTGCTGCTGGATAAATACAATGATTTGTAAATTAAGTTGGTGTTAACGTGGGAACCAAATGAATCCCTGCTGATATTAACATATCTACGAATCTGATCCATTCGGTCTGAAGACGCATGAATGCACCGGTACCAGTGTAACGGTGCATAATACTGATGAGGCATGCGAGCAGTGCCTTCACGTAAATCCGCTTCATGTCTCCTGAAAAGTGACATCTCTTAAGGAATTTGGGGATTCGCTTTGTAGCTTTTGCTTGCATTTGAGTAACAGTCAATAAATATTCAGGAAGCTTCAGGAAGACGCGTTCAAGGAGAAGATGGATATTCAATTTTGTAAACAAGATGCATATGAGGATTTTGCTTCCCCGTCCAATAATCTGTACCTGTTCAGCTGGTGTTTTTCTAATAAACAACTGCGCAGCGGAGGCTTTCTTCCTTTCACCAGTACAAGTGAATTCGGTCGATTTTGATTACAAAGCCCCACAACTAAATAGAAAATACCGTGCAAAATGTATCGAGTTGATTCACTATTAGAAGGTAGGGGCTTGCAGCTGTTCAAACTGGCCAGTAAACTTTGCTGAAAGTATTCACTAATAGGATTTCTCCGGGGTAAGTTGACGAGCTTTGTAATGATAAGGTGATTTTGTTGAAAAGAAAGGAATCGAATGGCTGACATCTGGGGATCCAGATTCACTGTTCCTATTGAATAAACCAAACCCAAGAATTTCGCCTGCCTCGAAAACAGTTTCGCGAATCTCCCTCGTTGCTTATTGTTAAATTGTTGACAGTATTTTAGTTCTTAATTTCTCGATTCAGCTCTGGTGAGGATTTACTTGGTTTAATTGCTTTACAGTGACTGCTCTGATATAGGGATAAGCTGACTCCACTAATACCATTAATTCCCTCCGTGAACCTTGGCAAGGTGGGTACACATCGTCACTCAGTGAATTCGTAGATAGCGTTTACTCAAGATGACCCACATCATTCAATGTTTACACATTGGTAAGAACTACCCAACCAAATGCGCACCGATAACATCATTTTTTGGTGACGAAGCGATTGTAAGCTGATTACTAAACTTGGTTTCGCAGTAACCTGGCTCACCACAGCTGCCCATGCAATTCAAACCACAACATTAGACTAACTCAGGTATCCAGCCGTATGGTTGATTGAACTGAGCAGGTTTTTGTTGTCCATAAGATGTCCATTGAAGCTGGCAACATAACATAACAGTGTTGTTTGACGTATTTGATTAGTCTCAAACCCCTGATTACCTTGACTACCACTGAAAGGAAGACCTTCGCTGCGGAGTTTTTTAATAGAAAATGCTAACTGGACAGTTACAGCTTATTGGACAGGGGAGCAAAACTCTCATATGCATCTTGTTTACAAAATTGAATATCCATCTTCTTGAACGCGTCTTCCTGAACTTTCCTGGATATTCATTGACTGTGACTCGGTTGCAAGCAAACGCTACACAGCGACTCCACAAATTCCGTAATAGATCTATCTCACTTTTCAAGAGACGCAAAGCTGATTTACGAGAAAACATACCGCTCACATGCCCCCTCATCAGTGGTGTCACCGTTATACCATGAATCAATTTGCTGACTGCTTACTGGAATCGCTTCTAAGCAATGATCTGGTGGTTCCCCACAACTTAAACGAGCCGTTGCTATTGGAATATGGCAAAATTGCAACTACAAGGTGTGATTATTCCGGATAGTAATCAAGAGAGCATTTTGCATGAAGGACTGATGATCATTGCCAGAAATTCTGTGGTACATAACTGTTTCACTACTTACTTTTGAGGGGCTGTTTGGGTTAGAAGGATGGACTGCTTGATTGGGCCTGATACATATCTCTACTTTACCGCATAATAAAAAAAGATGTGTGATGGTGATTGCATGCTTTGCGGTGAATGACGGTATCCTGTACATCATTTCTCAAGGCCACTGTCATTTTTTATTGTACCCATATCGGAATTTTTTTTAAATTCACACATTCATGTAAGAAAATAATGTTGTCATGGATATTGGAGCATTAAAAGTGTCGGTATAATAAAAACTTGAAATGTAAGGAGCAATGGAACATGAGCGTAAAAACTGACCACAAAAATACAGATTGTGTACGTATTGTGTTCATTATACTATGTTGCTACCAAAGAATCAGAAAGAAACACGGAAACAGTGCCTAAATACAGTGGAAATAATTAAAAGTCGGGAACCTGATGTGTTATATAGGTGTTTTATAACGCTTAATTCGTATATAAGCTAGTTTTAAGAGATCCACATTTGGTAATATTTCAAAAAATCGGTGTAGCTTAGTCACTACTCACTACCAGCGAACAAAAAATTTTCATACTGAAGATCAATTACACATGGTGTATTCATGGTCTAGATTCACTATTGAGCAGACTTAGGTCTGTGCTGGTTACCACCTATGCCGGATATGATCCAGAGTAAGTGAATTTCACTATTTAATACGTCAGATTTTAGAAAGCCAGACATATTGAAGAACGATAACATGTTCATCAAGGCTCAGTTATTTGGAATGTTTGTGACAACATATGGGTGCTCAGAACTTCACCTATAGCTTTTACTGGTGAAATTGTTTTGTGCATGGAATTTCACAACACTTTTTGATTCATTGTAGATTTGTGTGATCAAGACTTACTTTCAGGTTCGTCTGGATCGGTGGTGTAAACTCAACCATGTTTGCTGTGGGTGTTCAGATGTGTGGATTACAAATAATGTACAAACTATCGGAATAAGAAAACTAAGTAATAAAAATGATACGGGTTTTGTGGGTGGTGTTTAGTATGTCCGAAAGTCTTTTAGATACACGACCCAGCTTGCTGATTGACATGGGCAGGGCTTCCTTTCATCGACTTCTTCATTAGTATTCTTTTACTTGCGAAGTAGTCAGTAGCCTGTGCGAACCGAAAATTCACGGACCAAGATCATGTAGATGCGCCGAAACAGCGGGGACACGACAGGTTGTCTCGGATGCTTCACATCACACACAGAATGTACCATGATTTTGGCTGTGGTTTATTTCGGCCCCTTTCACAACTCAGTCAGGATGCTTGAAATTTCTGAATCGTTAATTCGACGGTAACTTTCAGCGGCAAACCTTCGTCCTTTTGTTAAATGTACCGTTTGATTTTGACGCCTCCGAAAGCCTCTAGTGATGAAGCGAAATTGGAATGACGAAGTACACTTATTTGTAAATCAAATTTGGTTTTGGGGGAACCAACTGGAACCCAGCTGAATCTCTCGTTTGTGATGTTGGACCACCCTTGGTGTTGAGATTTCAGTAGTGTTTACCTGGGAGAAAACTGCGCTGACTTACCCTAAAACTCATAGATTTCGTAGCTAGAGGATATGTCTTTAGCTCAACTGTACTAATTCATTTTGTTATTGTTTTGCGTCGAAGATGCTTTTTTGTGAAGCACGCCTGAGTGCGGCTTGTTATTTGTGAGGCTAGATTCGTTCGACCACTTGCTTCTTTGTAATGGAACAGCTAGTATACAGCCAGCACTTCGGCCAACATTCGGCAAGCCTGACTCGTATGAAATCAGTGGTTAACCGAGTGAGCGCATACGTAGACTAACCAACATGCGTGAAATACATCCTGAAGTTGGCGTGCTCAAAATCAGGCAGGGGGTGCCCACAGGTACTTGCAGGTTAGTGTGGAGCAACTAAAGTGCATTGCTGATTACTGATTTCCTTTCGTACCGGCCGACTATTTGTCTTTCTAAGGACATGGTTCACCCAAATTTCATGCAACAGAGGGAGTGTATCGTTTGTTTTAGTCACCGAAAATAGGACACTGCGTTAAGTGCTTGGTTGACTACCAAGAAAGAACTTTTTATTGCCGACTATTTAGTGTTTCACAGAATTTACGGTCAACTAGACGTTTAGAGACTTACCGAAGGGCAAGTCGGGTATACGTAGTGGTTGGATTGAATTGTTTACTGTAATGAACCATTAAATAAAATTTATCTCAGAAACATCACTTTCGGAAACGTTGAAAACAATCTCGTTCAGATACTCAAACCTAACCCCCCCCACAACATTCTACTGAAGGGTCATCTATTTACAGACAAACATTTCACTAACAGCTGCAACAATATTTCTTTTGCCACAGAATATTAGCCGCATGATTAGAAAACTGGATCTAGAACTTCTACTCATTACTAACATTTATTCACTAGGATAGTTTTGGCCAAGGTCAGTTATTCGAGAATTCGGTTGGTTGTAATCCTACTATAGTTGATAAAGTCAAGATAGCTCGACGCTTAACGCTGGAATTCACTGACCGGATGATTCGTGGTTCAAGTTCAACCTCTGTACATTGACTGCTCTTGTCTAGCCCTGGGCATCCTGGCCGTATCTCAGCCCTTGTGCTTCCGTTAGGTAACGTAGGAACTAGGCACTCAACTAGTGCTACAAATGAACAATTATTACTGTGTTGTTCTTTTTACAGTTGTCAGTGGGACCCCACTACTTAGATGGAAATAGCCGTCATCAACTTTAGGAGTACTGAATTGTAGGTGTCTCCTTGTTTTTGTGGATTGTTCCATCAAAGCACCAAGAAAGATAAAAATCAAATAGAAAAATTGGGTGATATCTATGGGTAGGCTTGTTGTTGCCAATCAAAAGATATCCTTTTTTAAACAACTGAATGCAATAGATTGAAACAAACAGCTTCCTTGCCAGAAAAAACAAATGAAATCAGTGGCTAACCAAGTGAGAGCATACGTAGACTAATCAGCACGCGTGAAACACATCCTGAAGTTTTTAGCATGCTCAAAATCAGGCAAGGGATGCCCACAGGTACTTGCAGGATGGTGTGGAGCAATTGAAGTGCGTTGCTGATCACTGATTTCCTTTTGTACTAGCCGACCATTTGTCCTTCCAAGGACTTAGTTCACTCAAATTTCTTGTGACAGATAGAGTGTACCGTCTGTTTTAGTCACCGACAATAGAACACTTTGCGTTAAGTGCTTGGTTGATTACCAAGAAAGAACCGGTTATTGCTGCCTATTTAGTGTTCCGCAGAGTGTACAGTCAACTAGACGTTTGGGAACTTTTACCGAAGGGCAAGACGGATACACGTAGTGGACGGACTGACTTGTTTATTGAAATGAACCGTTAAATAAAATTTAACTCAGAAACATGACTTTCAGAAACATTGAAAACAATCTCGTTTAGATACTCAAATCTCACTCACCCACAACATTCTACTGAAGGGTTTTTGATTTACGGACAAACGTTTCACTAACAGCTGCAACAATAATTCTTTT